CTTGGAAAGACTGGCTTCTCCTCTTATCAGAAATGCGCTGCAGCTATCCGGATGCTTGTATACAGAGTGCCCAGTGATCTCATCGATGAGTACACTTGTATGAGCGAGTCTACATGCCTAGACTCCATATACAAGTTCTGCAAGGCTGTGATTGCAGTGTTTGGCCCTGGGTACTTAAGGGAGCGAAATGCTGAAGATACAGCCAGCTTGTTGGCGATGAATACCAGCAGGAGTTTCCGGGGATGCTTGGCAGCATAGACTGTATGCTCTGGGAGTGAAAGAACTGCCCTTCTGCTTGCCAAGGGCAGTATAGGGGCCATGTCAAGGCTTGCACTGTCATACTTGAGGTCGTGGCACTCTTTCTTCGACATGGCCGGATCGCACAATGATATCAACGCGCTTCAACACTCGCCAATATTTGCAAGGCTTGCCGAAGGCAACTGCTCGCCGGTGAATGCTAACATCAACGGCCACAACTACAACAAAGGATACTACCTAGCTGATGGTATCTATCCTCAGTGGATCACTATTGTGAAGATAATTTCCAACCCTGTAGGAGATAAGAGAAGGAGATTTGCACAAGAGCAAGAGAGTGCTAGGAAGGATGTGGAGCGTCCTTCGGTGTTCTGCAATCTCGATGAAGCATCATTTGGTATCCTGCTAGAACTTGGAGCACCAAAAAGTTGGGAGGGGTGATGACTGATTGTGTGATCATGCACAATATGATCATAGAGGATGAGCGTCCGAAACGTATCTACGACCAAGGGTTTCAGTTCCAGAATGACAATGTTGTGCCTGAGCATAGTTCAGCCAATTTCTTCATCAAATGCATGATTGGAAAATTCACATTCAGCTCCAAGATCATTTGGTTAAGCATATGTGAGCTAACAACCAATATATGTATCTTTTTTAAAATATATTTAAGACAATTTAATCTTTATTTGGCTTGTAAGCTATGATATATTTATTTGGCTTGTGGAACTATACTATATTTGTTTGCCTTGTGAAACTATGTAAAATGTGTATATTTTGTTTGTAAAACGACGGCAAGCCGGCCGCGCGGGTGAATATGGTCAGCGCCTTGGCACTGTCGACCCAAACCAAAAACAAAATGAATGACGAGCAGACGACCAACCTAAACGGACAAAGAACAGACAAAAAACACGTACTTTTGGATCGGCGTGTTGGAATTGCTCTTAATGCACACTATAGCCACGCTCACTGTGCACCGTTAGACTAAACCAAGGTCAATCAACAAGACGAAAGCGAGATTGACTAAACTGAACACTACTCGTACGCACCTAACTCATCCGTAGCAAATCTTTGACGTGGATTCGGAAGTTCACATGTTGGTCTCATGATCAAAAACTCAATTTATTTCATGTAAGTCAATTTGCACTTCTCTTATGCCATCAGTATTAAACAAAGGATGGAGCTATATCTCAGCTAAGCTAGATGAAAATTAATTAAATCTCATCTAACTCCTATATCGCCTGACTTTACATGGAGATTCGTGAAATGTTTTTCTCGTCCTTTTTTTGTTTCTATTTGATTATTCGAATGGTGTACTATAAGTTAGATGACTTTGTTAATTTTCATCCACATGAGAATTAGGGGAATCTGTTAAGAAAATATGATAGTCTAAAATAATTTATCAAAATAATTAAAGATAAAACTCGGGGCCGTGCGTAGCTAGCTCTATGGGTAGCAAATTATTTCTCTATTCTCCAATGCATCACTTCAAAAGACAAAGATTGGGACTTGATTTTTACCGTTTAAATTTTCAGGCCAGGCTTCATTGGTTAGAGCAACTGTCGTGGCTGAGTAATGCCATGCCTCCTCCGTCTCATAGTATAAGGTGTATTAGTTTATTTGATATGAAATCATAATTATCTATAAAATTGCTATACAAAAATGAATCCCTTGAAATGATCGCGTAGCATATAACCACGTATCAACAAATTAATTCATTATACTAATAAATCAAGTACACATTCTGTTTTTTTTTTGCGGGTGAAGTACACATTATGTTGCATTGCTATAAAAATGAAATGGGGAAGTGTGTATCTGTTGTCACTTTCTTGGTTGCAATCATGGTTCGGTCACAGGTACTTAAACTTTTCTCACTCTTGCTTGACTGCTTGTGAAATACATAAATATAATGTTTATTAACTATGCATTAATTCGTTGCGGTCCAGGCTTATCCTAATAAAATCAAATACACATTCTATTATGAAAACAGGATGTGTGTGTTTGTTGTCACTTTCTTGCTTATAATAATAGTTAGTTCATGGATGTTACTATTTTACTCTTGCTTGACTGCTTGTATGCAACATCACCTATATACTGACCGAGAGATAATAAAATCCATCCTTTAGAACATCCATGAAATTTGCCTTTGTTAAGTGTTGCGCTTCTTGAAATTGACACCTTATTTTTCTTTACTTTATAAACAAAAGAACAATCAAGGCTACATCCTAAAAGTGCAACCTAGATCCATGACTACAGAAAATCAACACAACCCCTCGTTATTCCGCTGATTTTTTTAGCCCCTTCCACATCGCCCTTTGAGGACATTTGGCAAACAACAACACGGAGATACTTTGAGAATTTTGAGATGCTCATCATTCTTCGGAAAATATGGGATGCTCGCAATGCCGAAGTCTTCAGGCAAAAAAAGCCCCAAGTGTAAGGCGTTATTCTTAGAAACATCTTTTGATCTGACACTCTAATCGCACAGATTAAAAGCACCATAACTCAAAACACACACCGTAGTTGTGGCATGACTTTCTTTCCACACGTTGGCGCAAAAATATGGTTATTTGTGCAAAGTCATATTTCATTCAAAAATGACCTTACCTTTAATCATGCCGGGCCGAATGAGGGGCGACACATGGGATTCTCGTGATGCAACTTTTTGGTGGAACTATCTACGTAACACGATTAATAAATTAACAAGGGTCTACAGATTTAGAAGAAATCCATCAATGTCAAAACCCAAGACGTGTGGGGCTCTTGCTGCGTGCGCGTTTCTTTTGGAGAAACCGCTCACACTTGTGATGTTGATAGCCAATTAGCCATGGCGGTCATCATCCCTGATCCACGCCGATAGAGGAACAGCAAGCATGTGCCACTGACCCACTGGTCTCAAACATTGATGCTCACACACGTTGCGCCACCACTACCAAACGAATATGGAAGATAGACTAGTTGATTAAAATCTTGGTTTGCAGAATCTCTGGATCGGAGCACACATGGCATGATCATGGTGCCTGGATCAGTGGCTTGATTGAGGTTCCCAAAAACACTACTCAATGCTCATTAAATAATGAAAAATCATCTCGATCGATCAAATTTGATTTAAAAAATATTTAATTCTATTACAGGTGGGATGCTCAGGTATTTTTTTCAATATACAATACTCATTTTTCCAGGAATTTAAGAAATAACAACAACTTGTTATTCCCGCAAAAAATAAGTTATTTTTATTCATGGACAGATATTAGCATTTCACGAATTAAACCATCACTTGTGCGGCGAAAAACAAACATAAATGCCCCCTAAGAAAGTCGAAGAGACAGTAGCTCTTGCGTCCACACAACAAAGAGAAAATACAAAATCTGAAGGAAGAATAGGTCAAAGTTATACGTGTTTGGTCATCTAGTCCAAAGTAAAATCATTATTTTTCCTAAAAAAATAAATGGGGAAGACGCCACAGTGACACAAATATTCCCTCGTGTGAGAAAAAGATCAAGAGCGGAGCGGAGAAGACCGAAGACCACCAAACCCAACGTGTGCGGGCTCACTTTGTTTAACAGTCGTCCTCCTCTCCCTCCTCCTATTCCGCTGACAACCGCAGCAACTCCCACCTCCACCGTGGTGGCGCAGTGGCGGCCGGGGATTGAGACCAACGCGAGAAAAAGTCTGGTGCCGTCCAGCTTCCAGGATTCTCCACCAGTGAGTCCTTTGCTCCTCCCCTCTTGCTTCCCCGGTAGTTGGTTCTTGCCGGCGCGTGGAGGGGGATGGGATTTTTCCAGCTCTCGGGTCAGTTGCTCCGTTGATTCTTCAGCTGCGGGGAGGTCACCTGGCGGCTCCGCCGGCCGGGCGCCGGTTTTTTCGTTTCTTCCGGTGAGGAACTCCTTTTAATCATTCTTGTTTTTGTTGGTTCGGTCTGTTGATGCTTCGTTAGGATCATGCGGTGTTGCTGATTTTCTTGATTCCCTCTGCAGTTTTAGGTGACCTGTGACTCAAATCTTGGCCTGGTCTTCGCTATCTGAAGACCTGACATCCCTCATCAATTTCAAGTGTGCCTGGAGAGGGGTCTACCAGATTTTGCAAGAACAAGATCTTGCAGTTCTTTCCCGCAAAAAAAAAAAAAAAAAAAAGATCTTG